AATTTTATATTTTAAAATAGCCTCGTTCGGGTTCCTCCCCACCAAAAGGCAAGAGTTCAACCGATCAGCAAATTTCGGACCTGAACGGTATTTAGCCCCCCACCACGAGGGCATGATGTGGCAAAACAAGGTCGGTTTATTTTTCCGAGCATTGGGCTCGGCCCATCGAAAAATACAAAATCTTTGAAGCAACCAACAGAATCAACCGATCATAATATCCAATAAATTAAAACCGAATTCAGACGGTCGACCGAATTTGTATTTAAACCCCTCCATATCGTTCACAACATACAAGGCATAGTTTAATCGGGATTTGAGCCCGGGGGTGTCCAAAATTATGTATTTGAACCCGTATAAACGGGTTCAGGGTCGGTTTACCTTGTGAAAGAGACTCCGATATTTCGGCGTAGCCTCGTTCAACCGATCTGCCCAAGCCGGTCGCCCGATTTCAGGACTGAACACTTTGCTTCCTCTTGAGGCGCAGTATTTATTACGTATGGAATAGTCCATTATGTTATTATGGGTAAGGTCCTATAACAGTAACCTTTATACTTGATTATTACCTTTAATCATATTTGATAGTTCCTTAAAAGGTCACTACACAGACTGATAGGTAATTCCATCCATTGTTTCTTGGTAATAGTTTCTAGTTTTTCTTCCAAATTCGTGGGACTTCTTTTTCTTAATTTTTTCTTCAAATATGCCCAAGCATTTTCAATCGCTTTTAGGTCAGGTATTTAAACCAATTCCTTAATTTTGCTGTCATCTAAGTATTTCGTAACAATTCATACCTTGTGTTTCGTGTTATTGTCATGTTGGAACGTCCGGCGACGCCTCCAAACAGCTTTCGTGCATTTTGTTTCATATTATTCTAAAGAATAACCAAATACTGGTCTTTATCCACGATAACCTTTACTATCACTAGTTCTGGTTCAGAAGTAGCAAAGTATCTCCAGAATTCTCCCACCATGTGCCTAATTTCAGGAAGGGTATTTTGTTGGTTTGCGGCCTTCATTCACTTTCCTCCATGTTTAAACCGGAATTCATGTGACCAAATATTTCTAGTTTAATTTCATCTGACCATAAATCAGGGTTCAAATATTTGCTTCAATATTCTAGATAGCTTCTAACATAAGCTAATCTGCATTTTAGTTGTTTAGCTTTAAGCGATGAGTTTTCCTTGGGCAACAAGCTCGAAGTCCTTCTCAATGATATGGTAACATTAGTAAATACTTGCAAATATTCGCATTTCCTTAGAAAATATGCAAATATTCAGTGATTTATGAATAATTCTATTATGAAGTAACTATATATATATATATATATATATATATATATATATATATATATGTATGTGTGTGTGTATATATATATATGTGTGTGTGTGTGTGTGTGTATATATATATATATATACACACACACACATATATATATATATATATATATATATATATAAATATTATTTTATCTTCAACATCATCATTTCATAAGACACCGAGTGTGTTGAAACAAAATGGCTATTTTTGTAATGATTTTATAACATACTTATGTTATAATTTTTTATAAATAATAATTATATCTGCTCTACTTTGTATTGAGCACTCTTTTAAGAATAGTAATTGTTGGTTATTGGAATTCATTCCATATATACCAATTATATACTTGGTATATATATATATATATATATATATATATATATATATATATATATATAAAAGTGAACATTGAAATCAGCACGTGGCCTGACGATTGCGTCGAGCATGAAACAGCCTAAGCCTCTCAGTGTTGACTTCAATGTTTTTTTATATTTACATACGATATATCTCTGATACTGAGCACTTTATCCCATAAATATAGCACATTTTTAATATATATATATATATATATATATATATATATATATATATATGAAAATTTTTCCAATTTAACCAGTAGAGAAGACAATATTTATGAATGAAAATGACAATAGGAAAACTAGTAATTGCTGACGCGTTTCGTCCAATGTGGACTTTATCAAAGCAAAATACGAAATGAATTCTGTTTTTGTTTTTATTAGTTACCTTGTAATATTATATTCATTTCGTATTTTGCTTTGATAAAGTCCGCATTGGACGAAACGCGTCAGCATTTACTAGTTTTCCTATTGTCATTTTTATTCATAAATATATATATATATATATATATATATATATATATATATATATATATATATATATATATATATATATATATAAAGATCCCAAGCACGGCGATAATGCCAGTAAGAGCGGTTTGTCAGTCCGGTTAACTATCATAGACGTTTAATCTGAACCCGATATTTAATTTACGGGGGTAGATTGTTCTCGTTCTACTGCCCATGTCTCGGGATATCTCGTCTAGTTCTCGTTTAGTACTGCCCAATTACTGGCCGCGCTGTTTTCATGAGTTCATGTGCCCAGTGTAGTTATTGAACTGGAAATTACTTTGTCATGAAATAGCCGAACCGATGTTTTAACACGCAAGTGTATCGTCCCGTGGGAAAATTCTGTGGAGAACTTGCAGTTTTATAGCAGCAGCATAACCGAAAACGCTGTGATAACAACAAAGATGTGGACAACAGTCCGCGTGTAAATAATATTTTCATATTATGCTGTTTTCTCTTTGCTTTACGCTTTTTTTCTGACATATTTCTTCTTGGACGCCATTTATAGATATTCAGTTTCAATGTGGCAATGACCTGTTCCGAAACTATACCCAGTCCATCACATTTCGCGTTTTCTTTTGTTGGTCATTTGAAATAATTATGGAGTTATTTTTTTTTTCTGTTTTTTGGCGATCGCTTTGGAGTTTTCTGATTCCACGTTTGTCTTCTTATCAGCTCAACTGCAAATTTTGGTTTTCAATAATTAATCTTTCATTACTCTGCCGTGTTTAGTTCCCGAGTCCCTTGGTAGGCAAGTCGACACAAGCCTCAATGTTGAGAAGTTCAACGCCTACTTCGTTTCTTTTCTCATGCACTCTAGAAACATTAATCCACGCGTGAATTTTTTTTCCCATTCTCATAAACTTCCCAATTTTCTGATACATAGTTCTCTGTTGATGTTTTTTTTTTTTTTTGGTGGGGGAAGTACTCTGAATTCTTCTTCTTCGCGATTATTATTGCATGAAGTACCATTATCATCATAATCAACATCAAAATTACAAAACTTGAGTCATGTTCTTAAATAGCCTTGTCAGCTGGAGACTTTCATGTGGATTACAGCATGATGCCACACTCGTTCAGAAATATTCAGCCGGTCAGCCGTGCAAAAACGCTTTCTCAGAACAATTAAATTTCGAGAAAATGGAGCCTGTAGGCCTTGGCGAAAACCATTCTACCTCGAACCTCGTGGACTCCCACTACACTATCATAAACAAAGACCTGTAGCAAATAACAGCAACCTATTACTGAAGGACATTCAATAGTAGCAACAACTAAAATGGATATCACATGTAACTCGAAGAGATAATAATAACATAAGGAAGACGCTGATGTTCCACACTACTTCAAACAAAAGGTTTGGAAGGAAACCTCCACAAACAGTACACAGATTAAAAAAAAATTGAACTAAACAAGCCTATTTTCCTGAAAAAAATGTTTTCGGAGAAAGCTTTTAAGAACTTCAACCAAAAGTAGCACTGGCTGCCTTTATTTTTTTTTAATCAATTCACCCTAAGTAAGGCGATAATGTCACTAAGACGCAAACGGCTACTGGGAGTGAAAAAAGATTGAGATGACTTTATAAGGAACTGGAAACCCAATTCTGAATGGGGTACACTACTACTCCTGTTCAAAAGATTGGGGAGGAGTGTGAAACGGAGGATCAATGAATGTCGAATGTTTCCTTATAAGGAAACGGCTGATTTTAACATTACCATTCTTGTTTATTAATTTTGATTTTCTGTTTGCTATAATAATTTGGAATGACTCTTGACTGAAATTTAATGTAAATGAAGTTAACTAGAACACATAATGAGGAAAGAGGGCTTGGAAAATCTGATACTCACAGGACAGATTGACGTCATGTAAGCTAGAGGAGAACAACATATAAACTATCTAGCAAACTTGACGAAACGGGTGGCAGAGCAAGATTTAGGAGAGATAACAAGAATGCAAAATTTATTAAGAGCTAGAAAGGAGAGGAAATTGTGGAGAGTCATGATCGTCAACATCCTGAAAGGACACAGCACATAGAAAAAACGAAGGATATAAGACGTTTTTTCTAAGTATGGGAGTATTACCCATTAACACAATCTTTTCTATTTCACATATCGTGATTTTCTTAGCGTAGTTTAGATGTGGCACAAGGCCGAAAGTATGAGACACACGGTGAGGATCAAACTCACTACTCAGTTGGAATGGTTCTAGTGAGAAAAGCTTGCTAACAATTACATCACGTCGAGGTAACCAATGATTTTTTAAACATGGCTTAGATGCGGCACAAGGCTGAAAGTGTGGAGCACCTAACGAGGCATTTCAGATATGTTAGATTTTTCCAGGTTTTTTCTTAATGTATGCGCCATTTTGCTTCTTAATTATTCTTAACTCTCCAACCTGTACTGAAATAATGATTGTTTTTAAAAGCCATATCTTCTGTAAATTCTATTTCCACATCCTTATTTATATAGCGAATTGATTAAATTCATTCCTAAAATCTTTCTTTATCAGAAATGTAATAGTTAAATAATATTTATCATTTAACATCTTTTATAGTGATATTGCATTTCTTAGTGCGGTGTACACCCTTTTGGAAATTAATTGAAACAGCCGCTTTATTTTATTTTCTTTACGCCATACGGTCAGTTTTAAACCCACTGGAGTGACAGGATGTAAACGATTTCTATACCTATACAACATTTTTACTTCCTTCCGCTATTCTTTTACAACATATTTGCTTCCTCCCTCTGTGTCTTTACAATATTTTTGCTTTCTCCCTCTATGCATTTACAACATTTTTTATTAATTCCTCTATGCCATTACAATGCTTTTTGCTTCCTTAGTCTATGTGTGTAAAACATTTTGCTTCCTCAATGTGTGCCTTTACAACATTTTTGCTCCCTCCCTCTATGACTTTACAGCTTTTTGCTTCCTCCCTTTATGTCTTTACAACATTTTTGCTCCCTCCCTCTGTGACTTTACAGCTTTTTGCTTCCTCCCTTTATGTCATTACAACATTTTTGCTCCCTCCCTCTGTGACTTTACAGCTTTTTGCTTCCTCCCTTTATGTCATTACAACATTTTTGCTCCCTCCCTCTATGACTTTACAGCTTTTTGCTTCCTCCCTTTATGTCTTTACAACATTTTTTCTCCCTCCCTCTATGACTTTACACGTTTTTGCTTCCTCCCTTTATGTCATTACAACATTTTTGCTCCCTCCCTCTATGACTTTTACACCTTTTGCTTCCTCCCTTTATGTCATTACAACATATTTTTTGCTCCTCCCTCTGTGACTTTACAGCTTTTTGCTTCCTCCCTTTATGTCATTACAACATTTTTGCTCCTCCCTCTATGACTTTACAGCTTTTTTGCTTCCTCCCTTTATGTCTTTACAACATTTTTTCTCCCTCCCTCTATGACTTTACACGTTTTTGCTTCCTCCCTTTATGTCATTACAACATTTTTGCTCCCCTCCCATATGACTTTACACCTTTTGCTTCCTCCCTTTATGTCATTACAACATTTTTGCTCCCTCCCTCTGTGACTTTACAGCTTTTTGCTTCCTCCCTTTATGTCATTACAACATTTTTTTGCTCCCTCCTCTGTGACTTTACAGCTTTTTGCTTCCTCCCTTTATGTCATTACAACATTTTTGCTCCCTCCCTCTGTGACTTTACAGCTTTTTGCTTCCTCCCTTTATGTCATTACAACATTTTTGCTCCCTCCCTCTATGACTTTACACCTTTTTGCTCCCTCCCTCTGTGACTTTACAGCTTTTTGCTTCCTCCCTTTATGTCATTACAACATTTTTGCTCCCTCCCTCTGTGACTTTACAGCTTTTTGCTTCTTCCCTTTATGTCTTTACAACATATTTGCTTCCTCCCTTTATGTCTTTACACTATTTTCTCCTCCCTCCCACTATGTCTTTACAACATTTTCTCCTCCCTCCCTCTATGCCTTATACAGCATTTTTGCCATCTCCTTTTATGTCTCGATTAATACCGGCCAAATAAAAGATTTTCGTTCCGTTTCGTGTTTAGGATAGTCAGACAATTATATTTTTGTTTGCTGTTTTCGCTCTCAACTTTTGATATATTTCCAGGTACGGTGGAATAATGAATAGCGGCCCAGATTGAGGAATCGGAGATCCGAGTTCGAATTCCAGTTGAATCCATTATATTCACTTACGTGTTAATACCTTTAGGAAAGGTATGGATTCTCTTCTTCTTCCTCCCAGTTATGGGTAAATAGCAGGGCAGACCGGGTTCTATAGCCTTGAATGGCAACTGGTCTACCGCAGAAAGAAATGGCAACCTGCTTCGAGAAAAAAAAAATCTGCCACGTCAGCCATGTATCGAAAGATACATGATCGCCTAAGTGTATATCACGGATGGCACATAACTGACTGATTGTACGGTTGAGATCCTGCTTGGATTATTATTATTAAACAGGACTGATATGTATGTTTAGAAAAATTCCAGGAAAATCCTCATTATCTCAAATACAAAAGAGTGTAATCATGAGTAAAGTCAAAAAAAAAAAAAAAAATGAACATTCCCAAAGAAATCAGCTCAATACTGAGAATTTTCCAGTACTCTCCACATTACTCTAGATAATTTGATTGATTCTGCTCTTTGGATGATTTCAAAGGGTTAGATGCGGCACAAGGTCGAAAGTAGCATGAACCTAGTGGGGATCGAACTCACTATTCAGTCGTAATTGTTTTAGTAAGACAAGCTCGCGAACCATTACACCACCTCAAGGGATCCTCGGGCGATACTGTTATATGTAAAAACTTGCCCTTAATTCAAGTTTTAGTTAAAAGCCTAACGAACAAGAAATCATGAAAACTCGAAAATAATAATAAAAACAATGTTTACCACATTGAATTCAAGATGCTCTCCATCATCATCATCATCATCATCAGTAGTAGTAGTAGTACTAGTAGTAACCATGATCTTTTAATAATTGATGTTAAGTAAATGTGTTTTGTTTATAGCAATGTTGTTATTGTGGTTGGTAAACATTGCCATAACATTAATAAATACTTTCATTTTCTTTATAGTTAACATTTTGTTTGATCTCAAACACATTTTCTTCATTATTTTCATCAACATCATTAGAAATATTCATATTACACATATAATTATTAGCTGTAAAGAAAACACCTTTTTCTAACCCAGGACCACACCTGTGAGAATAAAACTAGTTTAAAATATGAAAGGGATACTACTTCATACGATCTCGCGAAATTTGTTCAGATATAAAATTTAAAATTAAAAAAACAAAGAACAAAAAAAAAAAACAAAAAAAAAAACCTGCCGATCTTTTGAAGAAATGAAGATTATGGCTTTGTCACTTTTGTATATTCTCAAGTTCCGCCTGATCAAACTCAGCTTCGAAATTCGGAAATGATAAATTACTTTTAATTTCATTCCTTTGTCATGATTCAAATCAATCTTATCTTATCCCTAACATCATCGCATTGTTAGAAGAACTATTATTGAAAAACGATATATATATATATATATATATTCTTTATAACTTTCACAGTTTCTGGGAGAAAGTGTATAATCTGGCGTGATCATCAGTTTGAACAAGGCTAGTATGCTCAAATACGTTTCGGTCTCATTGAGAATAGCGTAAACATAGATGGCTTCAGAACAATTATCTTTATCCAGTTTCACTCCCAACGCATGGGTAAATCCGTTGTACGGTTTTCAAGAACTTTCCAAAGGTTCTGCACGCTGGCATCGTCTCCCTATTTTAATAACATCAAGAAGTCGCCTCCTTGACAAATAGACCATGGTGAGATTCGTTGTTTTGATGTTTTTTTTGTTTTGTTTTTGATTACTACAAAGAGACTCCCTGTTTCTATTTTTAGATGTCCTCTACACAACCATGTCCATATCAGATTAATTACCATTCTTTCGATGCTTCTTAAGAATTATTCACTCAAGTACTTTATTGCCATTTTTGAATTTATATTTCGCGTGTTTCGGTTCGTTATTGTGGAGTATAAGGTTTTTGCTAGTATTCTTCTCTGGCTTGTGTGATTTTTGAAGCACTTGAATGTAAAATAAACGCCGTTCTGAATACCGAGTAGTCCTTGACCCCCCCCCACTTTAATTTTAAAATATAACCGGTTGACTAGGGTAGGGTGTAGCGCTAGAGGCATCCTGTTAAAATATCATATGTTTTATCACGGGCTGAATAAACAAAAAACAAATCTTATGACACCATTGTAACGTTTTAATCGTTTTCACAGTAATTTCTGGTGACTTTTACTGAAGTTTACGTGACAAATTCACGTCACTATTGCAGAACTCTCGACAGTATTATAGATGAATTGGATTATTTTTTTTTTTTTTTTTGTGGTTTCAAAAATATTAAGCAAATTCCAAAGCTTTTCACCATATTCCAGATGATTTGATTAATTCTGCTCTTTGGATGGTTTCAAAACAATATTAAGAAATTGCCAGCACACTCCATAGTACCCCTGGTGATTTGATTAATTCTGCTCTTTGGATGGTCTCAAAATAATATTAAGAAATTACCAGCACACTCCATAGTACCCCAGTTGATTTCATTAATTCTGCTCTTTGGATGATTTCAAAATAATATTAAGAAATTACCAGCACCTTCCACAGTACCCCAGATGATTTGATTAATTCTGCTCTTTGGATGATTTCAAAATAATATTAAGAAATTGCCAGTACTCTCCACTGTATTCCAGATGATTCAATTCTCATCATTGGATGGTTTAAAAAATATTAGCCAATTACAATTCTTTCTTACATGAACACTGTTGATCATTTCTTTTCGTCATCATTCTCATTTGTATTGTAATTATTCTTTCTACTGCAAAGGTATGTATAATTTTATCGCAGGTGATTGTCGCTATTTAAAAGCTCTTTAAATTCGTCATGTGCCAACAAATATATTTAATCATCATCTTCATGAATCATTTTTCTTCTTTCAATAATAATCAGTTTTTACTTATTATTGTTATTGATTACCTTTCTGTTTTCTGTATAAATGGCGTTGACTTTGTCTTCGTTATATCAGAACGATCTTTATCATCATCATTGTTGTTGTCGTCTATTTCCCAATGTCACGTGTCCATACATTTCTCCATAAGAATAAAAATAAGACTGAGCAGGTATTTACGCTGTTGAAATGTATTTAACAAGATTTTTGTAGTTCTTTAAAAGCTTTTCCCCGCCTTACTAAACACATGTTCTTTCTTTTGATTGAGTCTTTTTTTTTTTTTTTTTTTTTTTTCATTTCAAATTTATTTTTCATTCAAAATCTTACCTTTGCCAATATTGCCTTTTACTTTGTTTTTGCTTTTTGAATTTTTTTTTTTACTGGAATTTATATTTCTCTAACATCCCCCCCAACTTTTCAGCGAATTCATATTTAATTCTTTTTTCTCCACTTTTAAAAATATTCACTTTTCATTTATATTTTTCATCAAATTTCATATTCCAAGCAGAAGACAACAGAATTCTTTCACTCCTATTTTTCCCTCCTTACTCACGTCACTATTCTCATCCTCCTGTTGTTTCAGGCAGTAATGTTAGAAACAACACCACCAACAGCACCAACAACAAAAACAACAACCACAATAATAATAATAATAATAATAATAATAATAATAATAATAATAATAATAACTAGCAGTACCCGTAAAAAATCCACGCTTTTCTAGCTGAATATTCTGATATTTCATAGTATTTAATTCATCTTGGGTATGACGGCAATGCCTTAGGAGTTTTTCAGGAGCGTGGAACCACCTCTAAATTGCTTTTGTTCCCAGGTTCACACTGACCCAGGGTGGTAGGTTCCCAGCTATGGGCAAATAGTTAGCCCCCAAACTTTGGTCAAAACTTTTTGACAGTATAAAAATAGATTTTATAGTAAAATTACCAGCAATACATTAAAAAATATATCAGCAAAACTGTCGGCAAAACCCCTCTTTACAAAAATACTTCAAAGAAACCTAATTCCCTACAAACTGATTTCTTACAAAGAGTGCATATTCTATTCTTACGGATCTGTTCTAAAACACTTCTTGGCATTAAATAACCCATTCAAGTTGATATACCGTAAAACAAAATAAACCAAATCATAAAAATTAATAAATAAATAAGCTCATTACTGGTTCCAAGAACTCGTGAAACATTTCCTATTGCTTCGTTCCATATTTGAGCTTAAGAACTTTAACTAAATATTACAATAAGAATCATAAATATGAACATAGGTCATTATTTTAAAAAAAAGTAAGTATCTACAATTGCAAAGATTTAAAACTGACAAGATTTATTATTCCACTGAAGCAGACGTTTAACACATGAGAGTGTTATTACCTTCTCTATCTTGGCTTTTTTTCTTTCTTTCTTTCTTTCTTTCATTCATTCTTTCTTTCCTTCTTTCTTTTTTCTTTCCTTCGTTCTTTCTTTAATTTACCCATTCTTTCTTTTCCGTTCCTTTTTATTAAAATTAAACAGTGCTTTTTTTTTCTTCCCGTTACCCGCACAATAGTAAAGGAATTTCCATCGTTTATCTGAGGTAATGACAGAATTTTTAGGTAAATGTTGGAATAATCTCCTTGCATGTCCAACGAAAATAAAATACCCTTGCACATCGTTAAAAAATTTAAACTTAGCAAGACTTCGCGTCTTCCTTCCTTCCTTTCATTCTTTGTTTGTTTGTTTGTTTTTTTGTTTGTTTGTTTGTTTCTTTCTTTCTTTCTTTGTTGTTCTCACTTAAACTAAATAGCGTATCTGATTTACCTTTTCTGACTTTCCTCAAGATAAAAACGTAATAGTCCTTTATTTATGAACTATTGACAGGGCGTAACATACGCGTTAACTAAGAAAAGAAGGGACACACACATAATATTAATAATAATAATAATAATAATTTTAGAGTAAGATATAACAAACTTTAATATATAAACATTAATCACACACACACAGATGCAATACAAAAATACACACAAATATATAGGAGACCCGCGTTCGAATTCTACATATATAT